ATACTCTCTCTCCTCCTCCTCTCTCTCTCTCTCTCTCTCTCTCTCTCTCTCTCTCTCTCTCTCTCTCTTCTTAATTCTCCTCCCCCAATCCGTTCGACTTCCTCCGTTAACAACCGCGACAATTTCCTGGCTATCGATGGCCATCGTCGTCTAACCCGATAAAAAGTCGATAAACGCGGGATATTCCAGCTTCATTTGATATCTCGAACGGTGTCAAAGCCCGGTTGCACTTCGTTTTATATATATATATATATATATATCTGAAACCGGGGCGTTGGCTGTGGGACTCAAAGACGACGTAATTGCATCTCGTGCGCAATATACGCTACTTACGTATCTCTTAATTAATTCGTGCCTCGCCCCGGTAATTATTTCCATATCGCCAGACACGTACCTCCCCTGACAACACTTCCACGTCGCCTTCACGATTGCGATGCCGACACCGAGGGCCAACTCGAAAAGTTAGCAAGAAGAGGTTAGTCAGAATGGACGAGAATATCGAGCATTTTTATGCTCGCTATTTACGCTGTACTGTTTCTTTTTTTTTTCCTCCTGTTCGTTATTAATTATGCGGCAATTATGTGATACCAAGTGTTCGTTTATTATAATTCACGTATCCGAGTATATTGATCGGTGTTTGGATTTGTTAGCGGTATTTGAGTTCGAAGTGTGTAAATTAATAATGATTGAACTTCCAATCATTATTGGTATTGGTATTTTCCAAAATCCAGTGATCGAAGTGGAACTTCTTTTTGAAACTTGTGCTTGTTTTCTTCTTGTTCAAAATAATCTGGATTTTATTTTCATAATAGTCAAAACTGATGTTTGCGTATTCGAAGAATCGATCTTTTTTTTTAAGGAGAATCATAGAATTACCTGATTATTACATTTAATTAGTTAGTAATTTAACGAAAAAGCAACGAGAATATATCTGTTTATGAAAAATTAGAATGTACTGTAATATCACTGAAAAAGGAACAAAAAGGAAAAATAGGAGAATTGTCGTGTCATTCAACAATTTTTACACAACCATATAAATTTTCTACGTACTATTATTTCAAAATTATCAAAAACAATTCGTCGAGAAACGTCCTCGCCACGTACTTCCTCTCCATATACCTTCGCACTATCCTCGTTTCTCGCCAATCTTCACGAAGTGTGTATATTTCACAACCCAATTAAACTCTTGTGTTTAAACGAAGCCACCCAAGCGCAAAGCGAGCTGCTCGGGTCCGCCCATCACCCAATGCATCAATCCACCACCAACACGAGGCAACACCCGAAGCAAAAAAGCCGTGCATACACATTCAGACCGTCGACCTTGCGTGAACCAGGTCCACGCGAGGCCCAGGGGAACGGGTTCTCAATCCGGGATTCCCGGCCGTCACCTTCAGCCAGCGAAAGCAAGGATGAAAATTAATGAAACCACAATTGGCGTTAATGGCTTCCCGTGACTCGAGCCGAGAGAGAGAAAGAGAGCTTCTGCATCCTCGTTACGAAACACATTACACATAGCGTGATTTTTCAACGAGAATGGGGGGATTAATTTCGCGATGTTCTCGAATCCAATTAAAAGAAAAAAGAAAGAAGGAAAGAACGAAAGAAAGAAAAGTTTCACTTCACGTTGGCGAGACTTGATCAGCATTCATACGGATGTTGTTTCGACGGTTATATACGAGGTGATTGAATTATTAAGCTGGTTTTGAACTTGAAGCAATCTCGTTTATGCCGATGAGTATTCGCCGTGTTTCATTTCTCCTCTTTGTATTTTTATGTAGCAAGTGTTTGAATTATTATATCGGCCTTCGAATTGGAGAAACTTCGCTCACGTAAGCGAGATAAGATTATCATTCATGCAGATGATGCCTCGTTCTTTACATTTATATGTAAAGTAATTGGATTATTATGCAGTCTGATTTTTCTTCTTTTTAACTGCAAAAAGAGAGTATCTGCTACCGATAGATCCAGATAGATCCAGATAACTCGTGACTCCATCTCTTCTCGCAATTAAAAATGCATTACGTATCGCGCAATATTTCGGTGCAAATCAAATAAATACGAATAACTTCTTCCTTTTCCTCCACACACTGCGTAACAAATTGTACCGTATCAAATACGAGAACGAAATACTCAATCCGACATTATTCTACATACAACGCACCATGAATCTCCTCGCGTATAAGAATACAACATAGTTGTAGAAGCTACAACTACCGATCCTAATATTCGTACGAATTTCCACGATCAATTCACAAATCCACACGATCCCATCCCTCTTTTCCAAAAGATAGATCCAGATGTTTGTTTGAAAGTGAGCCGCGATGGATATACCGCGACACGATCCAGATCCGAATCGGTCTCAAAGATCGTGGAGCCCCACGGGCTGGAACGCGTGTCTCTATTTATAAATGGGTGCCGCGTGTGCGGCCACCGGTAACACGCTCCGAATCATTCGTGCTCCAATGTTAATTCATTCGATTCTCGGTATCGCGGCCCACCATCTTGTCTTTAACGCGTTAAGGCCCCTTCGGCCTTCACGTTCCGTGTAATTACACCGCGTGGCCGCGCGGCTGAATCGCGCATCCTGAAACGAGTTGAACTCGAGCTGAACCGTACACTACATACAGTACTCGTGTGTGTGTGTGTGTGTGTGTGTGTATATATATATAATAAAACACCTCCGCCGCGATGCCTTTTAATGAAACTTCTCGTTCAACGAGATGCTTGAACGTCGCGTGGTTAACGATATGAATGGTGAGATAGAAAGATTGACCGGGTTGACGTTGCGGTTTGTTGTAAATAAGGTGGGTAGGGAAGGAAGGAGGGGAGGAGGCAGTTCTTTCAGGGGGTTCTGAAGATGGTAATTATGGTTAATGAGGAAGTAGACGGGGAAGAGAGGAAGGTGCGAAAGGAAATTTTCGAAGGAAATTTTTATATTTTGCGGCGTGAAATTTCTCTCGTTGGTTTGAGAACTCGGAGCGTGCAAGTGATATCGGTGTATCCAGAAGAGAGAAGTTAAAGCGATTGCGGAGGCGCGTGTTTACACGAACTTCCTGTTTCATTTTGGGCGGCTCGATACGCTCCCAAAGTTTGCCGGATGAAACCGGAAACACCCTGTATACAGCGTGTTTATCGAAGCGGATGTGCATATAAGATATTACAATGTGGCCTCAACAAACAAATGAACGGAGGTTGGTTACTGCCTCGTCGCGATGAAAGCCTTGTAATCTTGACCGCCGTCTTTCTGAATTATTTGGTTTTGAATTTAATGGAAGAATTTAATGAAACAAATTGAATTAGTTCTAAGATATGTAAAATATTGTCGCGATATCCCTGTTTTTATATTTATTATAATATGTTTTTTATAATGTTTTTTTTTAATAACAATATTATCTGCGGTATTTACATTGCGTTACATTATTTCCTGGATTACCAATAAACATTCGTTTTTATCTATCGTATATGTACTTGAAACGAGCAATTTTTGGTAATAACAAAATATTCTTGAGATTGGCTATATCCCCTATATAAACTCTCTTTCCAATATTTTATATTTTTAAAATTCCAAATCGACAAAATGAATTTATTAAACTTCCAACTTTAATTTAAAATATACTCCATACTTTTATCTCATATTCTCATATTCTTCGCGATAAAATAATGAAATTAGCATATTAATGAAGCACACCATCAATGTATCATTTATACATTTATTATTCCGTCCTATCTATTTTTCCTTCGTAAAACAAATTCATATAAATTCGTAACACGTTTTCTTTACGTTTTCTATACATTCTACCCCATATTTTATCCTATTCTCTCGTTCAAACGTATAACAAAATAATCGATGAAACGACAAAGAATACATCCTGATCAATCTTATGAAAATTATCAGCAATTTTCGAGAATAATTCTGTATATATTATACCTTCCGTTCCGTGCAGCTTGTTATAATTAACTCGAAATCCGGTAATTAACCGCGATAATAAGCTGCAATTCTTATGTTATTCTACGGGTCATCGTCGAGTGCTATCTGTGCAGGAAACGTTGGTACGATAAAAAGGTTGTCGGGTCGAATCGTTTTAATCCTTCGTTTCTCTCTCTCTCTCTCTCTCTCTCTCCTTTTTCTTTTCGAACGAGATGTCTTGTCGAGGCGCGGTTAACCAGGGATGAAGAGATACACTGGGCTGGGAAAATTCAACCGCGAGATAATCTCCAACCCCTCGGGTTAATCGTCTGTTCCCTCTTCTTCGAAAAATTTACCTTAATTCCGGATGCCTCTCCGCGGCCGGAAGTCGTAGAGGGCTACTGCGACTTCTCACCGAAGGAACAGACACGCGCCTCTCGTGTGTTTTACGCCGTGAAACGAAAAGTTGTGTGAACTCCTCGACTACTTTGTTTTAGTTGTAGGATCATATATTGCGGTGTGTTTAACGTTGAATTTAAAGTTAAAAATTCTTCGCGTTCCTTTCGGAAATTGGACGGTAAAATCGAATAAACTCGAAGTTTTAAATTTATATAGCCTTTTAAGATTGATATAACCTTCCCAGTTCGTATCCATGAAATATTAATTAACCTATCTAGATTGAATTAAAACACAGAGGACGTACATTTCTTATATTAAAAAATTAACGCCTCTTATTTATCATTGTCGTATTTACATTCTTTAAAAAAAAAAACAAACAAACAAATGATTAATAATCTATTCAATATTATCCAAGTATCGAACGTTTAACAATACACGCGATAAAAATTCCTTCCAACGAAAATTTAAAACCAAGTGTGTACAGACACTGGAACAAGAATCTGCCGAAAATTATCACGAGAACCCCCATCGGGGCCATTCGACCTCACGCGAGCACCAAAAGCCAGCAATAAACGAAACCCTGTACACCGCCAGCCTCGATATCGCGATAAACATCCCCCAACGAAGAGGAGAGGCAAGGAGAGGACACGCGATCCCTGAATCTCATCCTGACTTCCCTCCCCTTCCCCCATTTTCATAAATCAGCGAGTAGCGATCCGGAATGATTAATCCTCGGCGGTGGGGGATGATGAAAATGCAAATTCCGATCGCGGTCCCCGGGCGCGCGACACGAGCCACCATCGAAAGTGGATGAGCGATTCCGCATGCGATCCGCCGCCGATCGGGGAACTCAGCCGCGAATAATGTCCTCCGGCTGTCGTCGAAAGTAGGCGTCGGCAAAGCGTATGCGTACATTAGCATTTAGCAATTAGTGGGGAACGGTATATTCCATCGCGACCCCTTCCGTCTCGCCCCTTCCGTTTCGTTCGGCTGCGTGCGCGCGGATTAAGAGCGCGAAACGCTCGCGCGTGATCCGTCTGCGCCCGCCAGGAGGAGGAGGGTGGAAAATCAGTGTACTCGTGTCGAGGGAGGGAGGGAGGAGGAGGAGGTAGTGCACGCGGGACCCGTAATGGTATAAATATGGAGTACCCGCGGGTGGTGAAACGAGCGGGACCACCGAGCTCGTGTGTTTCGCACTTTCCTTTCGCAAGGAATTTCCAAGCTTTTCGTCGCGTTTGTCGCGGTGCGAGCGTTTTCGTAAACGGCGCTCGTTGTTTTTTTTCTTCTTTCCCTCCATGTTAATGGAGGGAGGGTCTTCTTTCCGCGAGGAAACAAACTTCCCTTTCTGATGTGGAGGCGAGGTTTTTTTTTTTTTCTTTCTTTCTTTCCTTTGTGCGAGGAAAAGTCGGTAAAAGGGAAGGGTGTGTGATTTTTCTCTTTGATTCCTTTTTATCATTGAAGTTTTTCTTGATAATTTCTTAAAGAGGGTTAAAATTAATATTTTGTCTCCTCCCTCTTCTTTTTTCTCTTTCTTTATTTTTTATTTTCATATCGATTCGCGTTTTGCAATTTTCGCGGAGAGAAGCGATTGAAAGTAAAAGTATTTAAAAATGAAAAACTCTGAGAGATTCCTTGTTACTTCTCTCCGCGTATAATTCCTCCATTAACTCAACCCTTCGCCATCAATTATACAACAAACCAACCACGGACTAACGATCATATCTATTTTCCCGCTCGAACTATCATTCACCTTGACTCGAACCGGAGAACTTCAGAGACTTTTCATTCTCGAAGTAAAGTAAGTAAAGCGAGAAGGATGTTAAAGACTTTCAGCATCGAAAGAAAGATGCGATGCGAACGAATATATATATTTCAATTTGTCCTCTCTTTCTCTTTGCTTAAGAGTTCACCTACCGTTAAGATCCTGTCCACTCTTCCACGTTTCTCTCTTCCACAACTTCCTCTTCTGGGACACGAGTTTCTCCGTGAAACGATATGAAAATTCAAGCAACGAGAGGTTGGTAAATACCTTAAGCCGTGTAATGGAATATTCGCACATTAGCGACAGGCCATTAATACGGTAGTCCTATCCACAGAGTGGCGTTTCACTCTTTAGCGGACGATAAAGTGGGTTACCGCTTGATGTACAAGGTGTGGTCGAAAAATTCGGGTACTTTTCTCATAAATTATTTATTTATTTATTTATTTCAAGGAGTGGCGAAATTTACGACGATTCTCCTTCGAAACAATGACGTTTTCTTCTTCTTCTTATCTCAACTTGCATCTTTATTATACAAATTATAAGTCAATTTTCAACCACTTCCTCTGATGATATTAACTTTCGAAACCGTTTCTTTTTTTAATCGCATATCTAATAATGAAAATATATATATATATATATAAGCGGAGGAAAAAAATCAGTTGATCATAAATCTGATGAATGGAATGGAGAAAGCACAACAAGCTGTCTCGGCATCGAATTAATCATTTCAATCTGACTTTTTCCCCATTCAATTTTAATTTTTCTTCCTTTCGAAGAAATAAACGTACAATTCGTGCCAAAAGACAGGCTGTTAAATAAAACAATAAGAATACACGCGAGGATGCAAGTTGAGAAGAGATTTGGGACGATAATCGAGAAAAAGTAGTGAAAACAATTTCAAAATTTGATTTTTGTTGCATAAAAGCATCCTTCACTCGTGTATATTTGCAAAGCCTGTTTCGAACTCGAATTCGTCGTAAATCGCGTTATAGCTTTCGAATAAACAATTTACCAGAAAACTCGCCCGAATTTTTCGATCACACCTTATATACACGCGCGCGCACACAACCCTCTTTATAATTGTTTGGACACGAAAAGCTGCGCGCGTAAAACACCGTTTCCTTACGTGCCCCGTTCTCTCTTTGTTTGTTCTTCCATGTTCGCGCATCGCGCCCGTTAAATTGAATTTACCTCGGCCGACGGCTAACCGTGCGCAGCATCGTGTATTTGTCTTCGAAAATACGCGGGAATACCGATCCACCGGCGGGATCGAACAATCGAAGCCACGCCTCGTTTCGTTTTCCATTTGTACGTTTGTTTTTGCTACCTGGCACGATGCTCGTAATGAAGCACGATTAATGAATGGCTGGTGAATGCCCGCCGATTCGGGGTGGATTTCTTCGTTCGAGGAGTCGTTGATGGATAATAAATTATTATTCGGCGAGCAGACGTGGCTGCCTGCTTTCTTCCCATCTCGTGGAACGAATATTTCAATTTATTGAATTTAATTTGTGCCAGATTATTGCATTTTTCAATAATACATCGCATCGATTATTGCAATTCTCGTTTGCTTTCTCAAGTTCGTTGCTTGATTTTACGCTCGATCTCTGGATCTTCGTTGTACGAAACTACAATGTCTCTCGAATGCGGAATATTAATATTCGAATTTTCAAATTTGATCGTATCGAGAGTATTTTGTATCGAAGGAAAATCGTCGAAAATCGTCCCGTTCTTCGTTTTGTTCTCTATCTAACGATGAACCATCCTTGTTCGTGATTTTTCAATATTCTATAACGGACGAAGAGAAATTATTGCCCGTCCACAAGCGGTTTCAATTTTTCACGTGGTGTGCAGACCGCCAACGAGGATTTTTCCTCGTGTGTGATAGGCGAAACTCTCACACAGGGAAATACTATCGCTCGTTAACGTCAGAACGACTGGTGTCAAGTATGATGTAATACGTTGTAACGCGTTCAGCATCGCGATAAAAGCTTTTGGAAACGAGCCACGCTCGGGTTTCTGGGTGACAGACGAGCCAGAAACGCGTTTAACGATGCCCCATCATCGGTTACATTGATCGCTATACGATGATCCGCTTGTCAATAGCGGATCGACGGTTTCGAGGATGGTTTTTACGAGCCTCCCTTCGAATCATTCGGATCATCCTCGCCAAAAACTTTTTTAATGAGATCAGAAGTCATTCCTAATTCCCATTAAGCGGGATCATTGTGTTAATCTGGATTGAGCTAATAAACTGAGCGACGAATCCGCAATTAAGGGATCGAGATGATTTTCTTCAGCTTGTACTTTAATGACTATCTGCAATTGTGCAGGGAATAATCGCGAAATAATGATTATGGGACAAGTATTCCAGCTTCGTTATTCATTTTTGTTAATTGCTCTTTGTTTAATCGCAATTTTTCTTCCATTTTATGTACACACAGTGTCATACAGAGACATCTAGAATCCAAGACAGAAGTTGACGCATAAAAATATCAATTACTCTAATTTATTTATTCAACTGTAAATAAGATAATAAGCGATATAATAATAATTTTTATATATAAATTTCTGCGATTATTTTTTAAGCTCTAGAATCAACCCTCCAAAAGTGTTTCAATATATATATATATATTAACAATTTGTATAAACGCTATTTGTTTTCTATATATATCTATTCAATTTAAAAGAATTCATTGATATCTAAAGAAACTTTGCTTTAATAATAATTATTTTGAAATTTAGAATACTAATGCGAATGAATAGAAATTGAAATTAAAGTGCATCACATTAAAATACATTCTCCTTTATAAGAATATAAAGTATATTTAATAAAAATGATCCATAAACTAATGAAATATTAAAGTTTCATTGAAAAAAATACATTCTTATGCAAAAATATATATATTATATATTTTTTTATAAAATATATAAATATTTTCTATTTGTAAAATAATCATTTAATTATTAATTCATTAATGCCAATTCTATTCGTATTTATATTTTATTATCTAACTGGAAAAATATTCATAAAAAGTATAATATCGAATGATTATGGCATTAAAGGGGAAACCTAACAAGACTAATAATTAAAACGGTGAATTCAATAATTGGAATACTCGTAAACGTGGTTTCGAAGCGGACATCCAGTTAGAGAAATCTCAATTTTATCTTTTTAACGGAAAAGCAGTTGTCGGCAGGAAGATAACAGTCCAATTCAACGAATTCACCCAAATTCGCGGGAACATCGTCCAATATTCTCTCTATCGCATTCCACGCGATTGTTCCACCCCTAGAAACTCATTTCACCTCGTACACGTGACAGAATCGGCGAGCTGGGACCAGCAATTTCCTGGATTAGGGAAACACCAAGATAATGCTGTGTCCAGGTATTGCGAAACCCGCAACTACCTCTCGCAATTCTTACTTTGAACAACAAGCAATATGAACGGTGATTGCGAGTTATACCTGTATTTCCACTTCGACTTCCATCTGGAACCGACTCGCAATGAAAAGACAAGGGGGAATTTAATTTTAGTCTTTGCAAGAATGACAAATTACAAATTTTCCTGATTATTTGGAGAAGATTAAAAATTTACTCTTGACACGAAGATATTCGAAGAAGAATAAATCTACACTTTCGAAAATTGTAAATACGATATCCTTTTGTCATTATACGTAGACGACATATATTAGATATTTATCAATTTTATTGAATTATATCGATAACTGATAATGAAGTATAAAAATAAAGGATCACGTATTTTTATATTAAATTGGATTGGAAATTCTTCTAAAGTGATTACTATAATAAAATATTATTTGGATTACTTCTTCTTAATAATGATGTGATAATAGGACGATATTACGATAAAATTATAGATATATTCGATAAATTATCGATTGTCGAGCGAGAATTTCAGATTTGATGACGGAGTTGATAAGCTCATAATAAAAAATTCAATTTCAAACGCGCTATCTACGATTTCATCATTATTGTGATTAGATATAACTAATTCTTATATAATTATACATAGATAATTATATAAAACACATCAATCAACGATATAATATTCGTAAGAAAAATTTAATCGACTTTTACTTTTGTTAAGAATATACTGTTAAGAAAAATCTATTATCAAATTGCATTACATTATATTTTTCAGGGAGAAAAATTGATTTGAAAGGATCGTTCTCGTTACGAACATTTCAATTGTAAAAACTGTAAAAATTTCTATCAGACGCAGATATATCGTCAATAAAAATTAACACGCTATGGTTTCTGTTAACTTCCATAACTTCCGTTAAACAGCGAACACATCGTAAAACATCCGCGCAATTAAACGACAACACCGTTATTCGAAGATTCACCCTTCATCCTCATTAAAGAATCGAAAAACCATCGAGAGGCGGCTAACAGCCGATTTCCATTAGACAGACGCGATCGTGCCCCCTATGCGGGCGCAACCGCGTTGGAGGATCGATCGCGTGCAATTACGAAGCGCATAGCGGGTGCACGCACCCGGCCAATGACATTTTCTTCCATTTTCCTTCTTCGAGCCCGTACCCCAGCGCCCAGAGGCTAAGCGTCGTCATCATCATCGCCTTCGCGATGGAAGGAATACGCGAACAATGCGAGCGTTGGCAGAGTGATCATGATTTTACGTTTCTTTCGCGCGTTACAATTGCGTACGTGGGCCCCTTCATCCCTGTATCGCCTCGCTTTAACTGTTTTCCATTCCACCATGGAGAAATTTCTTTATTCGCGTTGAAAAAAAAAAAAAAACTCACCACATTCGTTTCGCCTCGTTTTTTTTAGATCTCTAGAAAATTTCTTTTTGAACGAGATAGAAATATTTATTCGATTCGATGATGGATAGTGTATGCTCGATTTTTTGTTTGTTTTTTTAATTGTAACACGTTCGATCGAATGTTGATCGGATGTTGATTGATCGTTACGCGCGCTATGAATGTTGAATGAATGAAAAAGCACTTTTTTTTTTCACGATAAACCGTTCAGATATTTTTATAAAAAATAAACAAAACGCCGAGTAAAAATGCTGAATAATAAAATTTACTTGTGAATAATTTTTCTGTCGAATATATATTTTTGCGTTGCGAAATCTGTATATGTATCATCGAGTGCTTTTTTTTTTTTTTCTTCGAAATCTCGTGAGGTTTGATTTTCATCCCCCGACATATTGATATTTGTACGTGATTGTAAAATTGTCTGCGTGCTAATTGAACGTGTGAATAATCGTGATATCGATTATAAATCAATTTATATATAATTTCAATTCTTTCGCATTTCGAATTTTATAATTTTTCTCCTTCTTAGTGTATCTTGCATCGATTGTTGAACTATTATAAAACTTTAAATATTCATTAAATTTATATCGTATCTTCACTTTTTATCACTTTCCTCAATCTATTCGTCCTTGCAAACTATCAAAGCGTTCGACTACCAATTCTTCGAAGTCAAGCAAAGTCTTTACATTTACATATATCTTGAATTCTATATTATTCTTTTCCCCAATTATTCAAGGATTTAACAATCTTTTGAAGTCATACAAGTAAAAATATTTACATATTTACATCTTGAAATTCATTCAATTTTCCTCTCTCACTATTTTCTCCATCAATTATCAAAGCGTTTGAAGTTACCGAGAGAAGAGTACCGAAGTTACCACTACCAAGTAGAAGTAGATGAATTGAGAGGAGAAGATCTGTTGTTACAAACAACAAGAAGGTATGGCTTTTGAAAAAAATTCCTAAAAATGATAAAACGTTAGAAAAAAAAAAAAAAATACTATAAGCCTTTTCCCCTGAAGGGATAGATGTAAAACGGTCGATATCAACCTTGTCTCCTTTCTTCCTCGTCTTCCCGTTAACTTCCTGTCGAGCATTAACCGGGTGTCGGATTACCGCGTTCCATTCCCAAGCTGGCATAGAAACAGACAGCTTAATCTAGCCCGATTTACCTAAGCGACCAGTCGATCAAATTCGATCAGAGACAATGGAGTGGAAAAAAAAAAAAAAAAACGGAGAAAAAATCTCGACTCACTTTGACCATACAGTCATTGCAAAGATATTTTTCTAAAGTCTGAATATTATATATTTTCTATTCGAATTCGATGAATCGATCAAAATCAGCTTGTGCAAATGTAAAAAATTAACATTTTAAAAAAAATATATATATATATAATAAATATTAGAGCAGGAAATGATAATGATACTAATTAAGATTAATAAGAAAACTAATATTAGAAGAAAATACAGAAGAAGAAGAAGAAGAAGAAGAAGAAAGAAATCTTGATTTACTTTGACGACTCTAAATAAATAATATTTGATTTAGAAATTTTTAGCGTTGACATACTAATAAGAATTAGCTTGTGTAAATGTAAAAATGGAATTAGCATGATGAAACGTATTTACTCGCATAAATATTAATATAATATACAAAGAAAAATTAAAAAAAAAAAAGTTAAATTTAATTCTAATAAATATTATTCCCAAATGAAGTTATATAAGATATACCATTAACGAGATCTACTTTCTTCTCCTCTTCCCGAAAAATTCTCCTCGTAACAAATTTTTGCGTACTACAATAAAAAGACACTATTAACAAGGACATTTGACACACAGGAAATACACACGCTGCACAATTTTAAATATCGAAGAAAATTGGATAAGACCAATAATGGCGTAAAAAAAAAAAAAAGAATTCCCAACGATACAGCAAGTTACACAATTCCGATACTCTTAATTTACCCATCTGATCATCCCAACTCAATTATCCTCGAAACACGGTCGCATTAATAGCAATCGCATACCAAGAACGAAACAAGAAAACCAGTCTGAAAAAAGGCTCACCCCGTTTAAACGGTAGCATACATACAACACGAGCGGACGTTACCAGCGGAACGACCACCAAAAATCGAGGCTCGATCGCATTTATGGACAAACAAACTGTATACCAACCGGACCCCAATCTCCGTTCCGATCTCGGGCACGAAACAGCCGGCTGGTAACAAAGGTGACCAGAATCGCGGATCATAAAATGCAGCAAAAATAACTCCGAATTTAGCGTGGTACACGGCTATAAATCTACGCCGCTTCCGACGTTAAAGAGTCGTTGGTACACCTCGATCGGCTCAAGGTTCTTTGACCGATACACGTCGAAACGCAAGCGAGGGTGTGTACGCGGCTTTCGCTATGGCGCTATAAGCTCCTGTGACTTTCGCGTACACTGGCCCCGTGATCCAGGGGGTTGGTGGAAATAAAGCGAGCTACACACTGAACGTTAATCCTATTTCGCGTTTTTTTCTTTTTTCTTATTTGCCTTTTCGATCGAAGAACAAGAATCGATTCGTTATTGTTTTTTCGTACAAACAAAATTTATTTCATGGAAACGAAATGTAGATTCCGATTAAGAAACATGGAATATTTTGATTGGAAAGTAGAAGTAAAGGAGGATTATTTTTAATTTCTTTTCTTATAACGTAGATATTTTTGCTATTTTTTTAATTCTTTCATTAAACGTGAAAGCATTTGCCTAAAGGCATTCGATCATGCATATTACTAATAAGAAACGATTAAATCATTTGATATCAGAGAAATGATCGAAAATCAAATCAAAGCCATTTAACTTACATACTTTCCTATCTCTTATAGCTATCCACTTTTATTCGAACAAAAATTAAAACAATTTAATTTCGCTCGCGAAAAATTTGCATAACCAACTTGAACTTTATTAATACCATTAATAAGTACAACTATACCGTGGATCGATAATTGAAGGCCGTTTAAACAAGATCGATATAAGCCAGCCCGCTTCGTTAAACGAAAATCGTGTCGTCCAATATAGTTGGAACCGGAAGCAATAAAATTTTTTCCAATCGCTCGATTACCCTTAATCGCCCGGCTAAATAAAACTTTTCGCTCAAATTGTTGGAACGTTTCGAAATCCGATCGATAAAATCGCTTTAATCCCGATTTTCTGTGACAAATCGAACGAATAACGGTGGCGGCAGGAGGAGAGGACAGGAATTTGGTTGGGGTCGGTGTGCGCGAAGCTTAAACGCGATTAACTCGCCATGTTATGTCTCCAGAATCCTGCGGGACCATTTTACGAGACGTCGTATACGTATCGCGCGAAATTTGAAACCTGATTCTCATAAAGTGTTCTCGTTGAATTAATTCGAGGGACTAACGCTAATATTTACTGCTTACCATTGATTGCGAGGGTATTATTTGATTGTCCAATATCGCTTTTCGATTTTTTTTTTCAATTTAATGGTTAATAAAATTTAATGGATTTTTTGTTCAAATTTAAACGAATAAAGAATAGAATAAAATAGTTCTTCTTTTTTTTTAATTCGATAATTTATAAAATTTACGATACGATAAATAACGATTATAATTATTGCGTAATAAAAATCCATAACACAGTGTGATTTCGGGGTGCGCAAAATAGCTATTCGCCTGCTCGTTTCGTTAAATTACGATAAAAGTATAATCGATCAAAATTCTTTCTTTCACGAAAGAGCAAAACAAACTTGTTTTTTCGGGGTAAAAAATTTATAACGATAAGATTAAATTGAACGAAGGATAAAATTCAAGTTAAAGAAGAAGGAAAAAAGGATTTCAAAGGTATTTAACACGAGAGGAAATATAAATGATCCCTGACTGCAACGAGAAATAAACAAGATTATTAAACTGGCTCTTAATCGAACGCATGAAACGCATCGATGTTCACGACGAAATCTGAATCAAACTCTTCCTTCCTTTTCGTTTATTTTATTTTCAAAGTGTAATAGACGATTTAAGAGGGAAGATTCGTACGTGCAGTTCGATCGAGAGGAAAGATATTAACGCGCAAGCGAATCCTCGGCAACAAGATGGATCGTGTGAAAACTATAACGACGCGCGAACAAGACTTTCACTTACACGTGGAACACGATTATACAATCATGGTGTCGATCTTCCCTTAATTATGGCTCGCGATCGTTGCCCGAGATACAACAAATTACCGGATCTTAATTTTCCTCTTCCTTCCCGACGTTTCCTCGAACCCGGTGTTGCAAACTGGGAATAAATACGACGATGTGAGAAATTATGGGTTTAAGAGGGGCTTCTTCGACGCCATGGAACGAAATATCGAACGGTTGCATGCGAAAATTGTATCGTGCAACCGGTTGTACCTTAGAAATCCACCTTGCGCGATAATGAATATTCGAAGATCGCTGGACTTCAGTTCCGTTCAAGTTCTTGGTCTCTTGTTGGTATGTCGTAAGTGATAAGATTGTGACTTGATATTGGAATTTACTATTTTTGGAAAGTATATTATATTATCGTTGTGACTCGATCATTACAATCAATACAATTATTATAATTCATTGTTTTCATTATTTCTTTCATTTTAGCAATGAGTTTAAAAAGAAGCCTATTACGTGTAGTTTATCAAGTTGATGTGTTCAATCTTGTTTAAAAATATTTGTTGTTCACAAAAACTTAAACTGGTTAAAATATTTAACCACAAATATATTCCATCCTTTCTAATTCTAATTTCTACACTGGTTTCCAAAATAAAACCGACCGCGCGCCCGATCAGACGAATCCCGAACTAATTTCAACTGCGCTCAAATCATCTCACTTTCTTCACAACTAAACACAACTCTTTCCGTCCAAAAATAAATCCCACGCCCAATTCTTCCATGATCGATCAACATCCGCCAGCCAAGGAACGCGCGAGAAAATAAAGACGAGAAACGCGTCAGATTTACGGCAAACATTAACCCCCTTTCCACCTTTCCAAGGAGCGAACGTGGCTCGTCGATAAATCGACATCGATCATTGTTTCGTCTCGGCAATCCCGGGGGTTGACGTTAACGACGGAATTCAAGCCTGGATGGCGTGGGTCGTAAAAACCCTCCTCCCCCTCCTCCGACGACACCCTTTCCTC